CAGTCTTCAGGTACTTTACCTGAGCACCACGAGTTTTCAAATATTTTTACCAACGGTTGGGCTATGACACCTGCCTAATCCTTGAGTACTCTAGGGTGTAATCTGTCAGAACCAGCTGACTTGAAGGTGTCCAGCCTCTCAAGGTGTTCCTTTACAAGGTCTACACCAATGCTGGGTATAAATATGCCCTCACCCTGGCCATCCCGCAGCATGCTATAGGCAGGGCGGTCCCTTTGGGCTGATGAAAGACCAACGTGAAGTACTCATTAAGCAAGTTGGCTTTTTTCTGGGTGTCGGTTATCAGTTTTCCCATTTGGTTCAGCAGGGGTCCAATGTTCCCCTTGCTTTTTTTCTGACTCCCTACATATCTGAAAAAGGACTTTTTATTTTCCTTGATATGTGAAGCTCGGTTGCAGCTTTCGCTTTCCTGGTCCACTCCTTGCAGGTATGGACCAGTGCTGAGAACTTCTCCTTGGTGGCGGTTCCAGCCTTCCATCCTTTATAAGTCTCTCTTTTCAGGCATAGGAGGTCCTCAAGTTCCCTGCTGGGCCAAGGGGGTTGCTGTGACCTTTTGCGACCCTTCCTCTGAGATGGGACAGACATCCCTTGTGCTGTCAGGATTGCTCCCTTGAGGAGCAAACACTCCTCTTGGACTCCTCTTCCTGTTGAGTCATGGTCCCTTAGGACCTCAACAATGAGCCTCCTGAGCTTATCAGAGTCAGCTTTCCTAAAGCCGAGGACTTCTGCATTGCTGACTGACTTGCCAGCTTTGCGATGGATAGTAAAGGTGATCAGCTCGTGGCCATTATCACCCAGCTTTCCATCAGTTCTTAGGTCACTGACTAGGTCATCCCCTTTGGCCAGTACCAGGTCCAGCAACACTTTACCTCTTGTTGTCCCATAGACTTCTTGAGCCAGGTAAAGCTCATTCACACATGTGAGGAAGCTTTGTGACTGCTTGGATTTGTGTAGTCCTCCATCTTGGACCCTGCTCCTGCCAAGAACCAGGGTGACATCTAGGGGACCTCTTTGCCCTCTTCCCAAGTCTGTCACAACTGCCCATACCCTCTGTAGGTCCTTCCTGCACTGGTGAGGAGTATGTGCATCTGACCCTCACAATGGCAGCAAAGGTTGAAAGGTATCTGTGGGGCTCCTGGGATTACCAGTGTTGCAGAACCTCCACCGAACACAGTGATAAAGCAACGTCTCAGGCCTGTATCTGAGTTACAAACCTGAAAACTGCTCCCCACCCCTTTGCCCCCTAGGACCATGTGTTGTACAGGCAGTGTTCTGTCATGGGGGCAGGGAACCGTTGCATTGCTCTCTAGTCCCAATTTGCAGCAGCTGTAGCAATGACAGCTGTGTGTCTAATCTGCTGCTACTGGGAGGATGGGGCATTTCCTCACAGGGCCGACTCTTTTGTGAGAATCCCAGACTAGCCACCTAATCAAACTTCTCTTAGATGAAGAGGAAGGCCACGCTGTCTCACAACCTCCCCTGCAGTTGTGCTGTTGTTAGCAGTGTCTCACCTGCAGTTCAGCTCCCTTCTTCCTGCAGATATTCCCTCCTCTTCTGAATGCCTGCTTACATGCTGCATGAAGGAAGAGGATGACAGGTATTGATTTGCCACTAGAAAATCAGTCATGGTTCTGACAGATGCGGCAGCTAACAGGTAGGTTTGCCTTCAGCTGAATGCAAACTGGAGTCTAGTCCAGGGCGCTGCTGGACTCTTGGATGGTTTGGAGCCCACCAGCAGCTCAGTGCTGAAATGCCAGGGGTGCTGGGCATGCCACTCACTGGCCACTCCGAGTCATTCATCTTTCACAGTGATTATGTGGGAAATAGCAAGGGGCTTGAGGGCCTTGTGGATTGATCCTGGAATCAATTCTGCATGGCAACTCCTCTCGTGAGAGAGGCATGATCTGGGTCAGATTTCAGAGAGTCCCACTGGTGGCATTTCTCACACATAGGGGGAGTGAAGGCTCAGTGGCTGGCCCTGGCTGCATGACTCACTTTTGCAAAGTGAGCCCCTCCACTCCCAATCCCCTCTTGCTTGGCTTCCCCATGCTCCATGGTCCCCTTTATGTATGGGATAAGGAAGAGAAGACTTCTACTGCAACGTCTAAGGTGCCCAAGTAGGTTGAAGGAGGTTGGTAGGTCAGACTGAAGGGAATGGGCTCCTAAAAAGTCATTTCCCTCATGGCACCCAGAGAAATGTAATAACATGAAAATCAGAATATTCAGGACAGAGGGAGAAAGAAACCCTGCTTTGCATAATTGCTAGTGAGCCCTTGTTTGCTGGCCCTGTATACAGAATGTCTTGGTTCCTATTGACTCTCCCTTTGCTCTTCTTTCCAGCACAGCTACAGGGAGGTGGGCATCCTGCTGCTCTACCTGGCTGTGGGAGTCTCTGTGTTCTCTGGCGTGGCCTACACAGCTGAGAAAGAGGAGGATGTTGGTTTCGACACCATCCCGGCCTGCTGGTGGTGGGGTACAGTCAGCATGACCACTGTGGGCTATGGAGATGTGGTGCCAGTGACCGTGGCTGGCAAACTGGCAGCTTCAGGCTGTATCCTGGGTGGGATCCTGGTGGTGGCTTTGCCCATCACAATCATTTTCAACAAATTCTCCCACTTCTACCGCAAGCAGAAAGCCTTGGAGGCTGCCGTAAGGAACAGCGACAAGAAGGAGCTAGAGGACACTGAAGATTTTTCCAGCCAGAACCAAGACTCGGAGGCTCCAAGTGAAATCTTCCAGGAGGGAAGCAAGCCAGACCGCCAGCGCCTGACCAAAGATACCCTTCCTGTTCACTGAGCACACGGCAGCTAGAGCTGACGATTCCACCATGGTGTTTTCTCCTAGACACATATGGCCTGAAGGACCAGGTCAGAATGGTGCTGACTCTTTTACCATTGCTGACTCTTATGCACTGGAAGTAAACAGGAGATGAAACACCCCAGATGATGCTCACGCAGTGCACTGCCCTTGTGCTGGGACAATGAAGAAAAACCACCAGAACTAGAATGACAATAGCTCTGGGCTGCCCCAGACTTACAAAAAATCCATCTGGCCTCCTTAACACTGTGCGCAACATCTGACAAACTTCTCTGCCAGGCAAAGGACAAATCAAGAGTCAACCAGATATGCCCATTAGGTTCTAGCTGTTTCTAACCCTTGCAGTGGTGACAGCAGGCAGCAGCTGTATCCATTAGGACATGCACTGAATGACAGTATTCCCTGTAGTAATGGCAATAGTGTCAGAGCCCCCAAATGCCAATCAGGAAATAAAATTAAGTTACCAAGGACTTAGAAAAGAAAAGGGTGAAGAACCAAATCAAGAAGCAGAAAGACCTCTGGCCTGCTGGTCTGCCTGGCCACTAGTAACTCCTTCCAATGTCCTGCAGCCCAAATTTCTGTCTGGCCTATCACAATGTCAGTGCTGAGCACTTAGCTCCTGTTTCCCACCCACCACTCTGAAACACATGGACTCCAAATTCTACCTGCATTTGCAATGGGAATATTTCCTGGGGGCTGGGGCCGGGCTTTGGAGTGTGGTGAAATAATCTCTGCAAAGAACCAGTCAGAGGGACAAGCCTAAACCTGACTGGTTGTCTCACAAGTACCCAACCTGAGCTGATATTAAACACTTACAGCTTCCTTCTTTGGGAACTCTTAACTGATCACTTCCTGTCCATTCCTTAGTGGTTGAAGAGGAGAAATGAGGGTGGTAAAATGAATGGTGTCTACATACCATGTGGGATCACAAAGAAGGTAACATCAACATATGTGTTTTCTTCCAGTGCATAGCTGAGGCTGGAATGGTGCTCAGGTGTCCTTGTAAGAGCCACAATATCAGCACATCTATTCGCCTTCATTAATGAGAATGCATTCACTTTCACAGGCAGCCAAGTGTTGTGGTCGTAAAAGAGCACCCCCCAAAGAGAGCCAGAGAAAGCAGTTTGCCATGGCTCTGTGGCACCATGTAGATAGTCCTTGGAGAGCTCTCTGTTAAGGAGAGAGGTGATTCCCCATCCTTCAGTGTTCCCCCGACTGGCACTGGGTGGCGTGGCATATCCTGAATAAGCCAGCATGCCAGCCAGCTGAACAACTGCCCATAGCCAATCTGTCAGTCTTGCCACATCTTTCAGGTTAGGCTGGGAGTGGGTGCCAGAGCTCTGATGGGCAGACCATGGGAGAACAGCTTTGCAGGGGATCTGATAGATACAGAAAGAAGAGAAGATTTCACCACTGTGTGGACAAAGCCCCAAAGCAATGAAAATCCCTGGCTTTTACTTAAACATCTGCTCCAAGCCCATATGTTGGTGACCTCCAACAGGTTTTCTTCTCTTGTCCTGGCTGCCCAGCTGCATGCAACGGCCATTTGGGAAATGAAACTCAGAGAACAAGAGCTATTTGCTGGTTCCAAGCAGGACCTTTGCAATCACAACACTTATTGCTGATTCAGCCTCCTTTCTCTAAGATTTCCCCTGCTCTCCAAGCTGCTTTCTTGCCTTCCTGGATGCTCCTTGCTCCTTTTTCTGACTCCCAAGCTTTCCAAACTGTTCCATGGCCTTTCCCAAGCAGCCACACCCCTTACGTTTCTTAGATGTTCCCTACTGCTCTGCTCTATCCCAGATACTTCATGGGGAACAGAGCCTCTGACCTCACCCACCAGTCCTTGTGCTGGGGTAGGATCTCATCCTTGAGTGGGAGTACCGTGATGATCTAGTGATGCTCCACAGAGGAATCCCTTCCTCTCTCTTCTTCCTTTGCCATCAGTCTCTTGCCTGTCTTCACTGCTGACTGTCTTGGCTGGTACCAAGGAAAAAGTATTCTGTGCTTAAATACCCATCTGGTGCTAACTCATGTGAATCCTCATGTACTGCACTGGGCCCGTTGTCAACGCATCATGTGACACAGATGCCATAACTTGAAAAATGTGTTTCCTGGCAATAGATTTCCCTGGAGGGCCTCCAGATGGCTAACCTCCCAGAGGCTGGAGCAGCAATCTATGCTGAGACACAGTGCCCATAATAAGTAGGTTCTTGGGGAAGGTGTGTCATGAGGTTGGCCACTTTTTTGCTATCAGTCAACTGTATGCTGTGCCCACCTTGCACCATTCTCCACTGGCTCTATCTCATGGTCCTGGATCACTTCAACCTTGACACCTCCTCTTAAAATGATAGCATCCTCAGCTAGTTCCTAATTCAAGTGACTCAAAATGGGCTGGGCTGATGCCCATTGTCATTCATACCCAGCAGTACCAGCATGAAGGTGAGACTGAATGCTTCCTTCAGCTCAGCATGCCAACATCGCACACTAAGTGTGCTGTACCCGGAGGTACCGTAGATCCTCCCTGTGAATACTGTGTTCTGTTCTGTTATATTAGATCACTGCACATCCTCAGTTTAGCCCTTCTAGGCTGCTGAACTACACTGCTAGTTTCAGTTGGTGTGTCATGACTCTTTCTTGCAGACTTTTGTGTTCCCTCTCCAGTGCCTCCACCAGGGCTAATGGAGCATCTGCATATCAGCAGTCACGTAGGCTGCAGAGAGAGGAGGTCTCTGTCTAACCTCAGTTTGCTGTCTAGGTGCCTCTTTCTTTGAAAGACGTTCTCCTCTTCTAGCAGAAACTTGGACTGGTCTCGTGATGACTGCCCTCCCCCTCTTCCCTCACCAGGAGGATACTTCGGTGTTGTCCTGCAATCAGATGGAGAGCTCACGCTGCCCTGCTGCCTAGCCTAAGCAGTGCTCCTCTGGCAGTTACTATAAACACTAAACTATAATGCCCCTGGTTTCATGACCTTCCAGTTGACAACCTGCATGCGCCTACTGCCCTTGGAAGGGTTTTGTTGTGCATCACCAGTGTGCAGCACGTTTCTCCAGTGTAACGTGTCTGTGTATCACTTTGCAGCTGGCTGCTGAGTCCTGCTGGAGTGGAACTGGGTGTTGATCCAACAGCAGAGCTGCAACTACAAACAGCTGAACAGCTGGCAGCCTTCCTCTAGTGCACGTGCACACAGCACCTTGGAGCTTGTTTAACACCTTCTTCTTTACTGGAAGCCTTTCTGCTCTCAGCTTCTTTCTTCCTATGGTAGCTGCAGCATTTGGGCATCAAGTAGCTCCTTTTACCCTATATTCCTTGCAGCAATGCCTCTAGCCTGGGTTTTTCTGTTCTATTGTTGTGTCACCTCCGTGTGCCTGTGCGTACAACAGACCATGATGTCTGCATTCGCACTCCGTCCCCTGCCTCCTGTGTCCTTTATCATCTCGAGCCTGTTTAGTTGTTCGAGTGGCTGTCATTTCCTTTTCCATTTGCCCCTCCTATCTGGAGGCATTTCTCCAGGGTTAGTTCTGTTTGTCCATAATTTTTCTTGTAAATTGGAAACAAGTAGCCCTCAAATGATCTCATCTTTGCTTAGGGAATCTTTTACATCTCCAGATCCTTATGGAAACCATATTGCTATATTCACCAACACAAAGGTGTTTTAGAAAATTCTGACTTTAATTATACTTTTCTCATCTCACAATTCCTTTCTGACCCACAATCTGGGACCCTCCTGCCCCTCCTGTCTGGAAACCCCTGATGGGGCTCTGTTGATATCCTTTCACTTATTACCTGCACACCAGTGCCATTTCCAGCTCTGCCCATACTCTGCTGTTCTGAGTAGGAGCCCCCACCTACTCTTTCCATTTTGCAAGTGTCCCTTTCTCATGTCTTCTCTTTCTCTCCAAGCTTGGTGGGGCTGTGAGGGATAATGTGAACATCAGACCTTGAAAGTTACTATTTTCTCTGCCCTGACAGCCAGCAGCAGACAGAAGTAACCAGAGAAAGAGTCTGTTAAAGACACATGGAGCCAAACAGATCTTCAGTGGAATGCCAGTGACTTCAGCAGAGGTGCAGCAGAGAGCAATTTGGCCCATTGGCCTATGGCAATGCAGTGAGAGATTTTCTCCGCACAGATACAGCATCTCAGAGCCTCAGAAGAGGATCATTAACTATTTAACAGGCCCTGCTGTTTTGACATGTCTGGTGATGTAGGTCAGGCTTAGCTGATGCAGCTCACTGTCAGAATGAATGGGAGATCAGAGAGTTTCAAAGTGGTTAGACACATTTCACTGAGAAAAGATGAAACAACTATTAACTCAATGAAATTCCAATAAGGTTTGACTGTGGGAGCTCACTTCCACCCAACCCCTTGTGAGTTCTCTCTGCCTGTGGACCATCAGGTGGGTTATTTTGAGTATCAGGACACAGCACCTGCAAGGGCTTTACACACAGACTTAACAGTGCAGGCTGCAAGAACTAGTATACTTCCCTATTGATAATATCACTGTAGCTTCGCTCCATTGGCTTCACTGGGATAATTCCTGGTGCCTTCTGTGAAGCCTGGAAAACGGCCTTGGAGCGATTGGGATGGGGCTGGGGATATGCGTTGGAGCTTGAGTAGCCAGGTGTCTCCATGGGAAGGAAAATCAGTGGCTGCATTGTTACATCTGTGTTGACTGAGGATACCTCAGGTCCCATCTGCCATAGCTGGGCTCTGTATAAAGACAGCTGCCTAGTTTGCTGGTTGGCTTTCAGGCTCCTGCTTCATACTTCTTGGTAATGTCACTGAAAGAAACCCTACCCTCCCCCAACAACAAATATGCTTTTCTAAAAATAGCAGTGTTTCACCCCCAGGCCACGTCCACGCCGCCTAGGCTCATCCCGCCATCAGACAATGCATTGCCTCTTCTGAGGCTTGCTTGTCATGGGCACAGTGCACTTCCTGCTGGGAGTTAGCAGGAAAAGGCGGCCTAGACTGACAGGCCACCCGGGGTGATGAGACAGCCAGGCTGGCTCAGGCAAGGCAGTGCTGGAAATGCATTGCTAATCCCTGTCCCCAGCTAGGGCCCGATCCAGAGCCCAACACAGACAAAGGCAGCTTTGGCTATTGGATCCAGCAGATTCAGAGCAGGTCTCTTAAGCGACTTATAAAGGAAGCAGCTTTCCTCCTGACAAACAACCTCATGCCCAGCAGACGGAGATTATGCTGATCTCGCAGCAAATGATTTTAATGTCTAGTTTCCCAAGGAACCCAGCAGGGTGTAGGGCCAGAGGACTAGTCTAGGCTAGGGAGAGGCTCCCACCTCTTGGGAAGCTTTGACAGCAAGGGCAAGAGAAGGCAACAGGCAGGGATGCCATGGAAGATGGATTGTTGCCCCCTCCCACAGCGCCTTGTCCAACCACAGCCAGGGATAAAGCTGCTCAGCCCCGTGGGAAAGGCTCTGGTCACAGCAGCGAAGGGGCTGTTGTCACTGTCACCTCCTGCGGGTTGTGAAAAGCCATGTTGTAGGATCCAGCTCTTCTTGTGCAGGTAAAGCCAACAGGACTTAAACCAGCATTTGTAGGCCTGTGGAGAGACTGCCCTGTGGGGACTTAGCGTGGGCTGGGGCACATTTCTAAGCAACAGCAATAGCAATTATACCTTGAGGACTATTTCCCCAGTACAGGAGCCCCAGGTCTGACACACTTGTCATGATACAGTCATGTATGAGCCACTGTGTGACTGCTAGCACCAGACAGGGCAGGAGAACAAAGGCTGTCAGCTCATGAAAAGCACTGCTGTTTCTTGTTAATGGCCCAGGTTAAAGGTTCATTTTCCTCTGAAGCAGAAGTAGCCGGAGGGGATGGGAGTCTGAGCACTCTAACATTTAGGGTTTGTAACCAGGGGCAACAGCTGTTCCAGGAGTGGTGGATGCAGTTTTGTGGATCAGGGTTAGGGAAGCTGCTCCTCTGTAGCTTTTGGGTCCTTGACACTAGAAGAGACCGTCCGCTACCATAAATTCTGTACAGCTCGAGTGACTTTAGAGGATCAACACTGATCTCTGTTAGCAGAGGAACTTGCCTGTTGCAGTTAAATGCAGCAAACAACTGCTCAACAGAGGTGCCCCATGGAAATCTTGCTGTATTTGACACTGGCACCCTACAGATTTCCTCTTTTCTGTCCTCGGCTAACCACACGGGAAATGCTAGCTCCTTTACCATGAATGGAAGCATTGTCCCCTTATGATGCTCATTAAAGGTGTCACACCTGCATTGGATGTGGTGACAAATGTCTCTCAGCTGAATGTAGTAAGAGCAACTGCACCCAATGCAAAACCAGCTGCTTCCCCCAAAAGGTCCTGCAGCAGCAGTGTGACATGGGGAGGAGTTGGGAGCTCTCCAAAAGAGGGACAAATCCCACCTAGTTTGGAGCGTTCCCTGATCTGCCTG